TCTATTTAAGGCCTCGCCACAGAGACGATCTCCCTCTCTGTGTCTGTGTTGCTCTCTCTCTCTGTGTATCTTGGTGATATCTGTCTGCTTATATGTCTGTCTATAGTTTTCTGGTTAGATTTTTTTGTTGCTATTTCTTTTATACCTGATGAAGATTGCTTGTGTTGCAATCGAAATGTCGTATGCAATTATTTAATTTATTATTTTATCTTTATACGCGACTTTACCGAAAGAACCAAAGAGTAATCTGTACTCATTGGTGGTTTTTCGGTAAAGTCACGTGTGCAGAAATAAAATCAACTTTAAATAAACAAAATTCAAATAAATCACGACGTTTGTACCACAACACAAGCGCCCATCGTCAGGTGGAAATGGGGTGAAACGCACAGCGAGGAAACACGCAGGGGGACACCACGCACACAGCACGTACAGATTTTTATTGTATTAATACACGTGAGACTTTACCGGAAAAACAAGTGTAATTTCAGCAGTCACGAAAGCTTCAAACCTAAATCAAATCTCTGGCCCTTGAACAAAACAATGACAAGTCTTGCTGTTATCATTCAAAACACATTCCTGCGGAGGGAGCTGGTAGGAACGCTGGGATGCTCGGTCAATGGCCTGCAGGGTCAACGGCGGCGTGGTGTATTCCGCAAATATGCCCGACTGTGAGGGCGGGCACAAGCCGGCGTGAGTAGGTTAAACATTGAGTTTTATAAGGGCACCTCGGGGTGACCAGCCCCTCCCCACCCAGCCCTATCCCACCCTCCCCACCCAGCCCCTCCCTGCACAACGGACACAATAATCCCCTGTGGGCTGGTGTAACCAGGAGGTTCCTACCAGTGTAGCTGAAGACTGCACGAAGCAGCGACAAAGCATTTGCCACCGAGGCCACCGAGGCCACCGCACAACGATTTGATGCCAACGTTACACCCGGACTATTTCGAGTCGATGGTGAAGGGCTCTGTCGATGTGGTGAGTCGGTGATGATTGCAAGGTCACATCTTGCTCAACATCCCACCACCAAATGTCCATTCGTTAACTTCAGCAAGACTGACATCACAGCGTGTCAAAGAGGTCCTCCCGGGTTGCGATCCGTTTGGGATCAAACAAAACAAAAACCGCTCAGAACAGAATTGCCAAGCGACATAATCACCGCTCCCGCCACGGGCATAATCCACACTCGGGCAGCGACAAGCTGACTCCTCGCTAACTGCCGGGTAGTTGGGAATGAACAATTTAGCTTAGAGGAATCATATATATATAGACTGAATGTTGTGATATACAAAAAATATTCAAAAGATAAAACAAACGCAACTTGAGATGGCAACTTCATCGTTGCTGTGCTGGGAGTATTTTTCAACAACAAAACAGCAGCACTGGGTGGCTGTCATTGTTTTTGTTGCAATAAAATTCTTATTTTCTTCTCGTTGTCTTCGTCTTCACTTGAATCGTCACCCGATTGCAATGGCGGCTCTCAGGCTTCGCTGGAGAATCCAAAAATCGAGTCACCAAATTATTGGACCCATCACTGCTTTCTCGTCTCAATTCCCACCCTCTGTGAGCACTCACGCACAAGGCACACACACACACACGTACACACATGTGTGTACGTGTGTGTGTGGGGAGCGGTGGTGTAGCGGTTAGCGCTACGCTGCACTATGAACCCGGCGACCCGGGTTCGATCCCCGCTCACGGCCAACACCGGTGACGATTATCTGAACCGGTCCAGGGCCTCCCCTAGGTCGACTCAGCCTCAAATGAGAACCTGGTGCGGTGTGTAGTAAACATCACCACCGGGGAGACAAAGGCGGTCGGGCGTGGTGCTGGCCACCCACCCCCTCGTGTGCCGTTCCGGCCTTCATAGGTGCTCGCTGACAGCACTTGCCTCTACAGTCTGTTAAGGCTACACGGGGATCTTTATCTTTGTGTGTGGGTGGGGAGCGGTGGTGTAGCGGTTAGCGCTACGCTGCGCTATGAACCCGCCGACCCGGGTTCGATCATATTTGACCGAGGCTATTCTGACATCCAATCTGTACAACAACAAAAATCTGCCACCTTTTACATAGTTGATAACATAGTGATGGGTTTTTACCCTTTGAACTGGTACAACAACTAACACCTTTATACAAGGCATCATGTTTGCAATAACCACAACACAAGCAGTCAAAATGCAAACAAAAAGAAACAACTGCTTGTGTCGTGGTTATTGCAAACATGATGCCTTGTATAAAGGTGTCAGTTGTAGTACCAGTTGAAAGGGTAAAAACCTACCACTACCTTTTGCCACTGGTAAAGGAGATGTCTCATAGTCGATAACATTTTCAGTATCAACTTCCAGATAGAAAAACTCAACAGGCGGTGTGGTGGTGGTGGTGGTGATGGTGGTGGGTGATGGTGGTGGGTGGTGGTGGTGATGGCGGTGATGGTGGTGATGGTGGTGGTGGTGGGTGATGGTGGTGGTGATGGTGGTGGTGGTGGTGATGGTGGTGGTGATGATGGTGATGGTGGTGGTGAAGGTGGTGGTGATGGTGGTGGTGATGATGGTGATGGTGGTGGGTGGTGATGGTGGTGGGTGGTGATGGTGGTGGTGATGGTGGTGGTGATGGTGGTGATGGTGGTGGTGGGTGATGGTGGTGGTGGTGATGGTGGTGGTGATGATGGTGATGGTGGTGGGTGGTGATGGTGGTGGGTGGTGATGGTGGTGATGGTGGTGTGGGTGTTGAGGTGGTGATGGGTGGTGATGGGTGTGGTGGGTGGTGATGGTGATGGTGGTGGTGGTGTGGTGATGGTGGTGGGTGGTGTGATGGTGTGGTGATGGTGGGTGGGTGGTGATGGTGGTGATGGTGGTGGTGTGGTGATGGTGGTGGGTGGTGGTGATGGTGGTGGTGATGGTGGTGGGTGGTGGTGGTGATGGTGGTGATGGTGGTGGTGATGGTGGTGGTGGTGATGATGGTGATGTGATGGTGGTGGTGGTGATGTGGTGGTGGTGATGATGATGGTGATGGTGGTGATGGTGTGTGATGATGGTGGTGATGGTGGTGGTGATGGTGGTGGTGATGGTGGTGGTGGGGGTCTTTTGAACGAAGCAGATGGACAAACAATCCGTCGGCCATCGCGACGCGATTCCCAGCGGATGCCAAATGCCGTCTGGGCAAGCGGAGCTCAGCCAGGGCACCGCTTGCAGCCCGCGGCGTAGACGCCGCCGCTACCGGCTGGCGTCTCTCTCACAGCAGGTACGTCCGGACGAGGACGTCAGCTGGCGTCTCTCTCACCGCAGGTACGTCCTGACGACGGCGTGGACGGTGACGTCAGCTGGCGTCTCTCTCACCGCAGGTACGTCCTGACGACGGCGTGGGACGGTGACGTCAGCTGGCGTCTCTCTCACAGCAGGCACGTCCTGACGACGGCGTGGACGGTGACGTCAGCTGGCGTCTCTCTCACAGCAGGTACGTCCTGACGACGGCGTGGACGTGACGTCAGCTGGCGTCTCTCTCCAGCAGGCACGTCCTGACGACGGCGTGGACGGTGACGTCAGCTGGCGTCTCTCTCACAGCAGGTACGTCCTGACGACGGCGTGGACGGTGACGTCAGCTGGCGTCTCTCTCACCGCAGGTACGTCCTGACGACGGCGTGGACGGCGACGTCAGCTGGCGTCTCTCTCACCGCAGGTACGTCCTGACGACGGCGTGGACGGTGACGTCAGCTGGCGTCTCTCTCACAGCAGGTACGTCCTGACGACGGCGTGGACGGCGACGTCAGCTGGCGTCTCTCTCACAGCAGGTACGTCCTGACGACGGCGTGGACGGCGACGTCAGCTGGCGTCTCTCTCACCGCAGGTACGTCCTGACGACGGCGTGGACGGTGACGTCAGCTGGCGTCTCTCTCACCGCAGGTACGTCCTGACGACGGCGTGGACGGTGACGTCAGCTGGCGTCTCTCTCACAACAGGTACGTCCTGACGACGGCGTGGACGGTGACGTCAGCTGGCGTCTCTCTCACAACAGGTACGTCCTGACGACGGCGTGGACGGTGACGTCAGCTGGCGTCTCTCTCACAACAGGTACGTCCTGACGACGGCGTGGACGGCGACGTCAGCTGGCATCTCTCTCACCGCAGGTACGTCCTGACGACGGCGTGGACGGCGACGTCAGCTGGCGTCTCTCTCACCGCAGGTACGTCCTGACGACGGCGTGGACGGTGACGTCAGCTGGCGTCTCTCTCACCGCAGGTACGTCCTGACGACGGCGTGGACGGTGACGTCAGCTGGCGTCTCTCCTCACCGCAGGTACGTCCTGACGACGGGTGGACGGCGACGTCAGCTGGCGTCTCTCTCACAGCAGGTACGTCCTGACGACGGCGTGGACGGTGACGTCAGCTGGCGTCTCTCTCACCGCAGGTACGTCCTGACGACGGCGTGGACGGGCCTGCCGCACGCGGGGCAAGGCTCGTTGCGGCGCTTTAGCTTCTTGGCGGCACGCGCAGCACGTGACCAGGTGGCCCGTCTCTCCGTGCACGAGCGTGCAGGTCACTGGGCCGGTGCTGGCACACGAGGCACACGAGGCACGCGGCGTTGGCGTCGCTGCTGCTGCTGCCGCTGCTGCTGCTGCTGCGCTACTACTGCTGCTGCTGATGTCGTGGGTCGGAGCTCGCGGGAGCCGAGGGAAGCGGGGGAGACGGTGTCCGACGACGTCTTCGTTTTGACATCGTCGTCAACGCCCTCCTCCTCCTCCTCGTGTCCGTCTCCTCTCATCCTCCTCGTCGCTGCGGTTCCTGTTGGGACTGACCACAACTGGCTCTGGGCTACGGACACGATGAGCAGAGTCGACGGTTACACTGGTAGGAACCACCTGGTTCCACCCAGCCCACAGGGGATTATTGTGTCCGTCCGTCAGTCGTGCATGCAAGAATGGGAGGGGTGGGGCCGGGTGGGGTGGGGAGGATGGGGAGGTGCTGGGTGGGGTGGGGAGGGTGGGGCTGGGTGGGGGGTGGGAGAGGGGTGGGGCTGGGTGGAGAGGGGAGGGTGGGGCTGGGTGGGGCTGGGTGGGAGGATGGGGAGGGGCTGGGTGAGGAGGCTGTGCGTAGCTACGCTGCTGTGAGAGACTTACTTTTATGAAAAACACGGAAAAGTCAATCAAAGCGTGTGTGGGCCACCGATCCCCACGCTCGCACCGGCCGCACGCGCGAGCGCACGCGCGCTCCGATGTGCTCGTAACGCCACCGCCAAACTCACCTGCCGCTTGTCTCCGTCGGCCGTCGCCAATGAGCTTCCCTTCACGGCTCCCGCCGCGTGATCTGCATGCCGCAGAACGACACAGCGCACCGATACGTGAGCACCGCGACAGCAGAGGTCGCAAACGGGTTTTGATTCCTTTCACGTACCCGTACCCGGCCGTACCCGTACCCTACCCGTACCCGGCCGGGTACGGGTAGGGTACGGGTATCGGGTACCCGATTGCGACCTCTGGGATAGAGCCATGTTGCAGGCGCGGGTGGGTTGATTCTAGGAACTTGAATTGTGAGAAGAGACAAGACGTTGGGAAATGAGTGACAAACGGTTACTCACCAGTGACTCACGGCCTACCCGTACCCGGCCGCACCAGGGTCGCAAACGGGTACCCGGCTACCCGTACCCGGCTGGGTACGGGTAAAAGGGTAAAGGTGTCGACATGCCAAGGGTAAGGTAAAGGTACAGGTTAAAGGTAGTTCGGAAGAATTACCCGTAGGGTCAGGTAGCGCGAAGTGTTACCCGGTAAATACGGTGCCTTGTTTACCGCTAGAAGCTCCGTGGAGCAGTCTGTGGCCTCTATTCAATAAGTAATATTTTTTTAAACTTTTTTTTAAACACGCTTTTATGAAATGTACAAGTACTGGCAGAACTCCACGACTCCAGGAAGTGGCCACAACGTAAGGGACCGTGGCCGATTGCAGCCAACGCCAGTTGATTGTGGACAATTAGACCCAAACCGAAACTTAACAAATAAAAAAGAATGTTTAAAAAATTATATATTTTTGTCATCAGTATGACATAAGTAAACCAAGTTTACAGTCGATACCACATTGGGAAGTGGGTTAAAATTGAGTTACAAGATTTGAGGATACAACAACAACGACAAGCGTGTAAAATTGGAATCATGGAGAGTATTCTATATGAATAAAGCGCTCTACCTATAGCATTTACCGCTATAAACCTTGTTCATGTGTAGTAGTTCCCTAGTAATTACCCTGTAATCGGGTAATGTATATGGGGTAAGGGTAAAAGGTAGGCTCGTTGCTTTTTACATTTAATTTTACTTGCTAAAGGGTCTAAGGTAAGGGTAGAGTGATTGTATTATGGTAAGGTAAATGGTCGGGTACAAGGTAAGGGTAGAGTGATTGTATTACGGTAAGGTAAATGGTCGGGTACAAGGTAAGGGTAGAGTGATTGTATTACGGTAAGGTAAATGGTCGGGTACAAGGTAAGGGTAGAGTGATTGTATTATGGTAAGGTAAATGGTCGGGTACAAGGTAAGGGTAGAGTGATTGTATTATGGTAAGGTAATGGTCGGGTACAAGGTAAGGGTAGAGTGATTGTATTATGGTAAGGTAAAAGGTCGGGTACAAGGTAAGGGTAGAGTGATTGTATTATGGTAAGGTAAATGGTCGGGTACAAGGTAAGGGTAGAGTGATTGTATTATGGTAAGGTAAATGGTCGGGTACAAGGTAAGGGTAGAGTGATTGTATTATGGTAAGGTAAATGGTCGGGTACAAGGTAAGGGTAGAGTGATTGTATTATGGTAAGGTAAAAGGTCGGGTACAAGGTAGATTCTTTGGTTCTTTCGGTAAAGTGACGTATAAAGATAAAATAATAAAATAAATTAAATACTAGCGTACGACATGGACATGCTGATTTCTCTAACCCCTCCCTCTCTCCCCGCCCCCGCCCCCCCCCTTTCTCTATTAAAAGGCCTCGACACAGAGGCGTAGTTTCTCTGTGTGTCTCTGTGTTGCTCTCTCTCTGTGTATCTCTGTGATATCTGTCTCTGCTTAGATGTCTGTCTATATGTCTCTGGTTCTGTGTTTTATCTCTCTCTCAAATTTAGCATTCTCAGGAAGAACGTAATCAACCAGGTAGGGTGTTGACTGTTATGTTATCCGACTCTCTGTTGTATTACATTACATTTCTAAGTATACTAGATTTGTGTTTCTATTTAATTTATACCTGATGATGATTGCTTGTGTTGCAATCGAAACGTCGTATGCTATTATTTAATTTATTTTATTATTTTATCTTTAGATGTGACTTTACCGAAAGAACCAAAGAATAATTCCTGCAGTCACGAAAGCTCCAAAATTAAGATTAAAGGTAGGTTCGTTGCTTTTTACCTTTAAACATTTACGTTACCTTGCCGGGGCCTGGCTCCACCTTTGCGTCTGTCGGTGGTGGCTCTGCAGAGCGCCTTGGCCAGGAGAGCGCCCAGCGACCTGGGGGACGAGCTGCAGACAGAGGAGAGATGTCTGTGAGAGAACGAACGCTGGGGTGGAAGTTTGCGTGACTGCAAGAATCCATACTCTTTGCTTCTTTGAACAAATAAAATATTAAAAATTCGTGATTTAATTTAGTTATTTCTATTTTTTATTTTTTTATTTATTTTATTATTTCCCTTCTACGTGACTTTACTGAAAGAACCAATGTTTGACAATTCATCGTGTTACATTCGATTTTATTCACCGTTTGCAACTCCAACCGAGGGTTAAAGTGCGCATGTTCGTCTGATAGTCAATCATTGAACGCAAGCTACCGAACAACCATTTCACGCACATGCCGGTTTACCTATTAAACCGAGTATAACACTTCCTGTAAACAACGAGAGTTTATTTGTTTCACCAGGTGAGAACTCAATAGTCCGGGGATTAGTTTCATACGCAAGGGTGGTGACACCTGGGTAACCAAGCTGACAAAACCAAATCAAATCACGTGAAATACAGCAATCAAATAGAAACATCTGAGAAAAAACGGTGTCATATGAGAAATGGAAAAACATATGGCAGATATAAATCAATGTTCAATAATACACACTCTTTGTGTTGGCTCAGCCACATTTTCAAACTGATCATAGTACAATTACAATTAAGTTACGTAATTGTTTTACAGGATGTGTGTGAAATGAACATTCTAAATTAGCACAAGCTGATAATTGTTTTTATACCATTCTATCTGGCAACAAAACTGACACCTTTTTTACAAGGAGTCATGTTTGCATAGACCACAATACCTGCAGTCATAAAGCAAACAAAAAACACAACTCTGATAATGTGTGCACTGTCCTTGAAGTTGATTGGTCCACAGCCGAGACAGCTTTCCTTAGAGCCTAGTCTCACATGGGTTGGACCAGATGACGCCAATAGGCGCACAACTCAAAGACAACGCACCAACAGAGTACGAGAGCTCGGGGTAAAGCACAAGCTGTCGCACAAACAATATCAACAACGCAAAGGTAGATTTTACACGGCAAATTGGAAAAGTTGTGCCCATCAGATGAGCTCTCCCATCACGCCACAGGACCGATGATCCAGTGGTCACAACAGCGCACAGTTCACCCGTGGCACATACCGTCGCAACCCTCGGTTGGCAAACTCCTCGACACGCCACCGGTCTTCCTCACCTCGGCTCTTTGAGGGAGAAGCTCTCCACGCCGAACAGCTCCCCCAGAGGGTCGCCCTTGCAGTGCACCATGTGTAGCCTCCGCTTGTCGTAGAGTTGCTTCGTCTTGATGTAGCCGCCCAGGTGATGGAAGACCTGCGCGGGAGGATGCCTCCGTCAACTGAGAAGCCTCCTCCAAGCTCTCAATACTCTGACAGTGCGCTGTTTTTGAGTGAGTTGTGCGCCTTTTGGCGTCATCTGGTCCAACACCACGTGAGACTAGGCTCTCAGGAAAGCTGTCTCGGGTGTGGACCAATCAATTTCAAGGACAGTGCATACATTATCAGAGTTATGTGTTTTTTGTTTGCATTACGACTGCAGGTATTGTGGTCTATGCAAAAAAAAAGTGTCAGTTTTGTTGCCAGATAGAAGGATAAAAAAACACAATTATCATTTTGCGGCAATGCCAGGCAAAGCGGCGGGCAAACCGCCCACGCCTCGGCACAGGCGTCGCGAGCGAGCGTCCGCATCTCACCTGCGGCAGCGTGAACGTGTCGCCTGTCGCACCGACAGAGCGCAAGAGACGCAGCAGCAGAGGCACAGGCCTCACCGCCTGCGGGACAGACGGAGAGAGAGGCGGTCGTCACGTCACCCTCGCATTGAAATCGCCCTCGAAGCAATCGTTGCGCAAATCGTAATCACGCAACACTTTATCTGCTCGCCGGCTTGTTACAAAAGAGACACGCCGACACCAAGAACACGCGCATCTCCGGTGAGCGCACAGTCGGCTAAGTATGGTGCAGAAGAAATTCAATGCACACGCACACACACACACACACACACGTGCGCAGACACGCAAAGCAAACGCGCACACACACGAGCCATTAGGAGTGAGCAACACCCCTCAATGCGCGCGTTGCTGTGCAAAGATTCATACTCTTTGGATTTTTCGGTAACGTCACGTAGTTACATTTTTTAAAATCCTTTATATTAAGTTCACTCGCTTGCTTGCTTGCGCGCTTACGACCGTGCAAATATTTCGGTCGTTTTTTAACCCACTTCCCGTGATCCAATCGAGCTGACATTTTGCACACAGACTCGTTGTGCGTGACAATTAATTTTCGTGGAAAAATTTTTTCCCAAAATTTTCCACTTTTTAGGAAAAAAAAAATTTCATATTTAATTTAAAATACCAATGTGATAAAAATGAAAGCCGTCTCGGGTGTGGACCAATCAATTTCAAGGACAGTGCATATCATTATCAGGGTCGTCTCTATTTCGTTTGCATTTTGACTGCAAGTGTTGTGGTCATTGCAAACACGATCCCTTGTATAAAGGTGTCGGTTGTGTTGCCAGATAAAAAGGGTAAACCCCTATTACTATATCTTGCTACTGGCAAAGGAGGTATCATGATGTAGATTCCATAACTTATACCACCAGGCTGTGTTCACCCAACAACCCACTCAAACACGAAACAACACTCGGCCTAAAGCGATTGTCTCAAACGCATTGTAAGCACACGGCGACATGAACGCAATCGCAAACACTGACCAAAGCTTCCTCGTCAACTCCCGAAGCTGAAGAGACGGAGGTGGAGGGGCTGCCACTCATGATGACGACGACGACGACGATGATGACAACTGCAGAGACACACAGGGACGTGTCGGTTAGCCTGAAGCGCAGTGAGGACCCAGCCTGACAATGACCACCAATCAAGGGGGGTGCTGCTGTTGGTTGGCATCAAGGTCCACAACTGAACTCGGCTTTTAGAGACTGCAGCACGGTGTAATCACCTCTTAGGTTTTTTTTTCCGGTAAAGTCACCATGTAGGTAAAACATTTAAATTAATAAAAGTAAAATAAAACAAATGAAAAAATTCACGACGTTTCGGAGGCAACACAAGCCTCCGTCTTCAGGTGGAACCGTCACAGCCACGACAGCTGTATCAAGTAAATGAGAGATTGCAAGAGCTACCACTCCGTATATATAATGGTTGGAGAGGGTGGAAGGGCCAGGTACGGCACACTTTTTATTAATATGGCAAGGTGAGGCTTAAGAGGCTGAGCCTTTGTTATCACCACCGCAACGCCGCCGATTCGCTAAAGTAGCAACGTCGCACACATCGAGGAGACACGATCATTACGGCGGGAGAAGAGATGATAGATGTACGTATGTTGTCTAGGATCTATGAAAGCATTTTGGATTGGGGATTGTTCCAGCTATTCTGATCGATTAAACTACACGCATTACAAATTGTCCATTTTCTAGCGCTGCTCCGAGGCCATAAACACTCAACTCTATTCTCACCAGGAAAGGGCCGCTGAGCTACCCGGCTCTTTTTCAGAAGCGACCTGGCCACAGATGGTAGCCTAACGAAGCGATTCATTTCGTGAAAATTTATAGCAGTGGGTGGGTGAGTGAGTGAGTGGGTGAGTGAGTAGGTGGGTGGGTGAGTGGGTGAGTGAGTGGGTGAGTGAGTGAGTGGGTGAGTGGGTGAGTGAGTGGGTGAGTGAGTGGGGTGAGTGGGTGGGGTGAGTGGGTGGGTGACTGGTGGGTGGGTGAGTGGGTGAGTGAGTAGGTGGGTGGGTGAGTGAGTGGGTGAGTGGGTAAGTGAGTGGGTGGGTGAGTGAGTGGGGAGTGAGTGAGTAGGTGGGTGGGTGGGTGAGTGGGTGAGTGAGTGGGTGGGTGGGTGAGTGGGTGATGAGTGGTGGGTGAGTGGTGGGTGAGTGGGTGGTGGGTGAGTGAGTGGGTGAGTGAGTAGGTGGTGGGTGGTGGTGAGTGGGTGAGTGAGTGGGTGGGTGAGTGGGGGTGAGAGTGAGTGGGTGGGTGGGTGAGTGAGTGGGTGGTGGTGATGAGTGGGTGAGTGGTGGTGAGTGGGTGTGTGGTGGGTGAGTGAGTGGGTGAGTGGGTGAGTGGGTGGTGGTGAGTGGGTGGGTGGGTGGGTGAGTGAGTGGGTGGGTGAGTGAGTGGTGAGTGATTGGTGGTGGAGTGAGTGAGTGGGTGGGTGGGTGGGTGAGTGGGTGAGTGGGTGGGTGAGTGGGTGAGTGGGTGGGTGAGTGGGGGTGAGTGAGTGGTGAGTGGTGAGTGAGTGGGTGGTGTGAGTGAGTGGGTGGGTGAGTGAGGTGGGTGGTGAGGGGTGGGGTGGGGGGGTGAGTGGATGGGTGAGTGGGTGTGGATGAGTGGGGTGGGTGAGTTGGGTGGGTGAGTGGGTGGGTGAGTGGGTGTGGGTGAGTGGGTGGTGAGTAGAGTGGGTGGGGTGAGTGGGTGGGTGAGTGAGTGAATGGGTGAGTGGGTGGGTGGGGTGAGTGAGTGGGTGAGTGGGTGAGTGGGTGGGTGAGTGAGTGGATGATGAGTGGGTGAGTGAGTGGGTGAGTGAGTGAGTGGGGTGGGGTGGGGTGAGTGGGTGGGTGAGTTGCGGTGGGGTGAGTGGGGTGGGTGAGTGAGTGGGTGAGTGAGTGGGTAGTGGGTGGGTGAGTGAGTGGGTGAGTGAGTGGGTAAGTGATTGGGTGGGTGTGGGGGTGAGTGTGTGGGTGAGTGAGTGGGTGAGTGAGTGGGTGGTGAGTGGGTGAGTGAGTGGGTGGGTTGAGTGGGTGGGTGAGTGGGTGGGGTGAGTGAGTGGGTGGGTGAGTGGGTGGGTGGGTGAGTGAGTGGGTGGGTGAGTGGGTGGATGAGTGAGTGGGTGAGTGAATGGGTGAGTGGGTGAGTGGATGGGCGAGTGGGTGGGTGAGTGGATAGGCGAGTGGGTAAGTAAATGGATGAGTGGTTGAGTGAGTGGGTGAGTGAGTGGGTGAGTGAGTGGGTGAGTGGTCATTTATTAACACGTAATTCAACTTGTAGAAAACAACTGTACTTGTAAACCAATGCGATTGTTAAACGGTGTTAATTTTTACGTGGCCTTGGTTATATAAATAATAAAAGTACGCGTCTACACGGAGCTCTCCCATGCGGGGCCGCGTGCCCCGATTTGCGGCCAAGATTCAGGCGAGACCGAGGCTTACGAGCAAAAACCGGGCCGCGTTTTTATTCGTTGAAATATAAAAAAGTTGCATTCAATTATCGACGAGAACGTAATGTAAGCTCACAATAAACGAACTATTCCAACGCGACATTTGAAAATCGATACATTCAAGTTATAGCTTAAAGCAATAAAAATTAAACTCGAATTAAAATCAACAATTCGAGGCGCTTGAGTGCGGCCTAGCGAATGGGGCTACGCTGCACCACTCGGCAGACTTCGCGCATTTAGAACTCAATCACTGTCGTTGTATTATCACGGAGAGCCTTGGGGGGTCGAGTATTACTTAGAGCACATGCTGCGAGTTTATTCTCGTTCTTGTTGTTGTTGAGTCAGCGAGGGAATGACAGCTGAAACGCCGCTCGACTCACCGAGTGGAGGATGTTGCCCGGCAACTCTGGGGACGCGGGGGACGTGAGGGGGGGGGCATGACGTCATGGATGGTGTGGGTGAGTGAGTGGGTGGGGGAGTGGGTGAGTGAGTGGTGGGGTGGGTGGAGTGGGTGAGTGAGTGGGTGGGTGGGGGTGAGTGGGTGTGGTGAGTGGGTGGGTGAGTTGGTGGTGAGTGGGTGAGTGAGTGGGTGGTGGGGTGAGTGGGTGGGGTGAGTGGGTGGGTGAGTGGGTGAGTGAGTGGGTGGGTGGGGTGAGTGGGGTGGGTGAGTGGGTGGGTGAGTTGGTGGGTGAGTGGGTGGGGTGAGTGAGTGGGGTGGGTGAGTGAGTGGGTGAGTGGGTGGGTGAGTGGGTGGGGTGAGTGAGTGGGTGGGGTGAGTGAGTGGGTGAGTGAGTGGGTGTGGTGAGTGGGTGGGTGAGTGGGTGGGTGGGTGGGTGGGTGAGTGAGTGGGTGGGTGGGTGAGTGAGTGGGTCGGGTGAGTGGGTGAGTGGGTGGGGTGGGTGGGTGAGTGAGTGGGTGGGTGGGTGGGTGAGTGAGTGAGTGAATGGGTGAGTGGGTGGGTGAGTGGGTTGAGTGAGTGAGTGGGTGGGTGGGTGGGTGAGTGAGTGAGTGGGTGGGTGGGTGGGTGAGTGGGTGGGTGAGTGAGTGAGTGAGTGGGTGAGTGGGGTGAGTGAGTGGGGTCAATGGCCAGGGTCAACTAACCGAGCAACCCAACGTTCCTACCAGCTCCCTCCGCAGCAGGACGAGGTGTTCGTGAACATCTTTGATGGGTTTCCTCTGGGCACTCCAGTTTCCTTCCAACACGGAAGCCCAACCGCCCCCCCCCCCTTCTTCGTAAAATGAATTGGCCAGGACCCTTTCTGAAAAAGTGGTACTGAGACCCGTTGAGACTTTACCGGATAAACAAGTGACATTGTTTTGATTATAACACACAACTCCGGCGGTACTCCGTTAACAAAACCCGTCAATATTTTTGAATACCGCCCTACTTATCAGAAACAAGCTTATTTTGTTTAACACACCAGTGACCGCATAGCTGTACCTTCCAGGGTTGCAGTCTTCCCATCTTAGCCCCTCCCCAACCTCTTGCTAAAGACCCCAACCAATGTCCTTGTGCACTCCTCGGATCTCTTTCCACCCACGCAGTGTGGCTTATCTTGCAGTCGGTCCCAGCCAGGGGCGGTTTCTTCATTAGGGCGAATGGGCGACGCACCACCAATGTCATTCAACCACAGAGTCACGCTAGCCGTCACTGTGCCTCTGGATATAGTCCAATCAGCGTCATGTCACGTTCTGTGGAGTACCGCCTCTTTTTGGGCGATTTCACTCTGGCTGAGAATCGCCCCGAGTGGCCCCATAGACTTACATTCAAAGATGCTTTTTTTCGAACGGCGGGCGCTGCAATGAATTCTCTATGGCTTCCGGGAGGGCTCGCCCTAACGTGCTTACGTCATCATACGTAAGCACGTTTCATCCAACAATATAATTTGTCGCCACCTAGTGGAATCTTTAATAAAATAAACTTGAGTGGATTGTATTAATAGTGAGTATAGAAACAAACAAGATGTATTGTAAGAGTCACTTTATTTTTCATTAATATTAAACAAGTGAAGTTGCCTGTACATGCTTAAGCTGTTAATTTATCCATTGCATGGGTGGACCTTATCCTTATCAATCATCCAGACATTTGCCCCCCCCCCTGAGAGATTTAGCAGGAGCCGCCACTGCGCAAGATCGATTCCCATGTTATCCCAATGGAATTCGATTCATTCCACTCTAATCACTAGCAAGATCGATTCCCATGTTATCCCAATGGAATTCGATTCCATCCACTCTAATCACTAGCAAGATCGATTCCCATGTTATCCCAATGGAATTCGATTCCATCCACTCTAATCACTAGCAAGATCGATTCCCATGTTATCCCAATGGAATTCGATTCCATCCACTCTAATCACTAGCAAGATCGATTCCCATGTTATCCCAATGGAATTCGATTCCATCCACTCTAATCACTAGCAAGATCGATTCCCATGTTATCCCAATGGGAATCGATTCCATCCACTCTAATCACTAGCAAGATCGATTCCCATGTTATCCCAATGGAATTCGATTCATTCCACTCTAATCACTAGCAAGATCGATTCCCATGTTATCCCAATGGAATTCGATTCCATCCACTCTAATCACTAGCAAGATCGATTCCCATGTTATCCCAATGGAATTCGATTCCATCCACTCTAATCACTAGCAAGATCGATTCCCATGTTATCCCAATGGAATTCGATTCCATCCACTCTAATCACTAGCAAGATCGATTCCCATGTTATCCCAATGGAATTCGATTCCATCCACTCTAATCACTAGCAAGATCGATTCCCATGTTATCCCAATGGAATCGATTCCATCCACTCTAATCACTAGCAAGATCGATTCCCATGTTATCCCAATGGAATTCGATTCATTCTACTCTAATCACTAGCAAGATCGATTCCCATGTTATCCCAATGGGAATCGATTCATCCACTCTAATCACTAGCAAGATCGATTCCCATGTTATCCCAATAGGAATTCGATTCGATCCACTCTAATCACTAGCAAGATCGATTCCCATGTTTATCCCAATGGAATTCGATTCATTCCACTCTAATCACTAGCAAGATCGATTCCCATGTTATCCCAATGGAATTCGATTCATCCACTCTTAATCACTAGCAAGATCGATTCCCATGTTATCCCAATGGAATTCGATTCCATCCACTCTATCACTAGCAAGATCGATTCCCATGTTATCCCAATGGGAATTCGATTCCATCCATCTAATCACTAGCAAGATCGATTCCCATGTTATCCCATGGAATTCGATTCCATCCACTCTAATCACAGCAAGATCGATTCCCATGTTATCCCAATGGAATTCGATTCCATCCACTCTAATCACTAAGCAAGATCGATTCCCATGTTATCCCAATGGGAATCGATTCCATCCACTCTAATCACTAGCAAGATCGATTCCCATGTTATCCCAATGGAATTCGATTCCATCCACTCTAATCACTAGCAAGATCGATTCCCATGTTATCCCAATGAATCGATTCCATCCACTCTAATCACAGCAGATCGATTCCCATGTTATCCCAATGGAATCGATTCTATCCACTCTAATCACTAGCAAGATCGATTCCATGTTATCCCAATGGAATTCGATTCCATCCACTCTAATCACTAGCAAGATCGATTCCCATGTTATCCCAATGGGATTCGATTCCATCCACTGTAATCACTAGCAAGATCGATTCCCATGTTATCCCAATGGGAATCGATTCCATCCACTCTAATCACTAGCAAGATCGATTCCCATGTTATCCTAATGGAATTCGATTCCATCCACTCTAATCACTAGCAAGATCGATTCCCATGTTATCCCAATAGGAATCGATTCGATCCACTGTAATCACTAGCAAGATCGATTCCCATGTTATCTCAATGGGAATCGATTCCATCCACACTAATCACTAGCAAGATCGATTCCCATGTTATGCAATTCCAATCGGAATTGATTGACTTTGTCCAATTCTCTGCAAGAATCAATTCCCAACGTCCCGATCGATTTTCTCTCCACGTCACTCGGGAAGCTACGACACGTGGGTCCGTGTGGTCGTCATGACGATGCACAAACTCTGCAAACTTGGCCTACTCTTCCACTTCGTGCTGCCTCTCATCGACCACCTTGTCACATGTAACCACGGTGAGCAGAGCCGGTCGATAAATCGGGTACCAAGTTGACTGGGGAGCGGTGGTGCAGTGGTTAGGTCACTGTGTGTGGGTGCTCATGCTGTTGTGGAGTGGCTCATGCAGCCAGCTGTGGCTGCAGGGTTCTGCTGGTACATGTTGTTTATGCCGCTTATTGTGAAAATTCCGTCACAGTTCCTATGATCACTGTTTCATTGCTTGCATGGCTTTATTTTGGTGATTTCGAAAAGTGTATTGGTTTGGCCATGTTTGTGTTGTTGTAGTACAGAGTTAGACTGATGGCCTTAATCTAAGTTGTCTTGTGGTTGTTGTTGTTGTTGTTTGACTTGCATCCCACTGGGATGTTTGCACACAGAGTTGGTGTACGGTGTTTTTTGTCTGCAATGTTTTGCTGTCTTTTCTTAGATTTTCTTTTTGCACTCAGTCACATAGTCACTTTAAGATGTTTTTTGTTAGGTTTTTGTTTTTTTAAATCCTTTATATTAAGTTTGCTTGCGTGCTTGCATGCTTGCTTGCTTGCTTACGACCGTGCAAATCTTTCGGTAGTTTTTTAACCCACTTCCCGTGATCCAATCGAGCTGACATTTTGCACACAGACTCGTTGTGCGAGACAATTAATGTTCGTGAATTTTTTTTTCAAAATTTTACACTGTTTAGGGAAAGCAAATTAAATATTTAATTACCAATTGCTTAATACTGGCAGACAATCATCTGACCCATAGGTGGCAGCCATCTCAAGCTCTGGTTAAGCTGGGATCCCGGCACCCTGAGTCTCCAGACCGGCTCTTATAAGAACATCGGTCTGGGCTCTCGGAGCCACGCCACCGGCTTGCCCCGGTCGGCCTACTCTAGCTGGTCTTCGATCTTCGCTGGTTGAAGCTAACACTCGACCCTGAGCCCTCCGGCTCATCACCTTATATAGCAATCTCCCCCCGGGGGGGGGGCCGTGGGGGATGGCAGGTGCGGACGTCGATGTAAGCACCTTCTCTGCGTACGGCCATAACCACGCCCCATCCGTACCAATACACCTCTACACATGTCACTGTAGTTAAGAGTCGTAAGTCGGGGACTGTATGTTCATGTTGTAGTGAGAGTCGTAAGTCGGGGACTATGTGCATAATGTTATAGTGAGAGTCGTAAGTCGGGGACTATGTGCATAATGTTGTAGTGGGTGTCGTAAGTCGGGGACTATGTGCATAATGTTGTAGTGGGTGTCGTAAGTCGGGGACTACATGTGCACTGTTGTTGTGAGAGTCGTAAGTCGGGGA